TCTCTCCTCTCTCCTCGAACTCTCCTGTGGAGAAATAATTATATATATATATATATATACATCTTTTTTTTGCAACTCGATAATTTGAAAATCTTATAATTCTTTTTTAGGTATCGTTCTTGCGTACAACGATACACGATCGATGTCTCTCCCTGAAAATTTCCCTCCTCCAGGATTCGACGGCTTCTTCCCATTATTTTTCCAGAAACGAAAGGGTCTCTTTATATATATATATATATATACACGCGGGCCAGAAAGTCCACGTGTCGCGTGATTTGCCGGGGATTTGCCGATCGATCTCTCCGCTTACGATGCACTTTTATTTTGTAGCTACAGTCCACTGCGGATCGATCGATCGCCCCCTCGAGGAGGACCCGATTGAACAATACGCCGAAATCTCTTCGAGTAAAGAGCAAGGAGGAGGAGGAGATCTCTCTCTCTCTCTCTCTCTCTCTCTCCTTCGATGAGATCAATTATGCCCTCCTCGTCGAGGAGCGAGAGTTAAGGTCACGAACTTTGCACGAGAATTCACAGTTAGAGAAGGTACTCAAAATACGATACGAGTCCAATTTAGACGCACTGGAAAATTCAATTTCTTTCACAAGTTCAACACACCGTCGATCCCTCTCACTGAACGAGAACTTTCGTGAAAAGCGAAAAAAGAAAAAGGAAAAGAAAAAAAAAAAAAGGAAAAGAGAGAAGAGAAGAGAAGAACACTGTTCCACTTGACGTGCCGTTCTTTTTTTCAGAGGCACGTCATTACGATCGGAGGCGAGATGAGGAAGAAAAGGGGGAGGTGAGAAGAGGAGGTTGGAGGTTGGAGGTTGGATGGTCCACGAGAGGCGAGGTTCGGGCGCGAGATAAGAGCGGATAGATGGTATACATATTCATGCGTCCTTCGACGATGGCGTCCCGACGTCGAGTGTGTGTCGTTCCGAGGGACAGCCACGAGCCACGCTACCCCGGCGCCGCAGTCGTCGTCCACGTCGTCGTTCTCCTGCCGGCATCGACGCCCCGTGTCAATGAACCGAGCGCCGAACTTGTTGCACCGCGGGAAGCTACGCGCAAGCCTCGTCTTCCTCGTGTTCAAGTCACCGGCCCCTTCTTTCTAATTGTCGATGAAGAACGAAGCCGAGGAGGATTATGAAATCAAAATTCCATTTAACACGACGTATAATTTAATAATTGTAATATCGAAACGATGGGAGAGTATTGTAAAATGGATGTTGCGAGTGATTTGGAAAATCGTGAAAATGGAAAGAATCTATATTAATAAGCGTTTTGCGTGCAAAAGATTGCAATTTCTAAGAAGGAACGTGACCGTGCATACGTGTCAGTGTGATACCCGATGATTTAGATATTTAATAAATATCGTCGAACAATCTCAACTGGAAATGTTCGAATTATGTAAACTAGACTCGGCTTTTCCTTTTAACGACGACCGTTCGAATGGAACTTTGATCATTTTTGATTCGAATGAGAAATAAGGAAATAACAAGTCACTACGAGTTACACGTTGAAGTTTTAAGGGGACAGAGTTTAAAATTCAACGTGCTCTATTTTTCTTCCATGTTCGATATCTTTCTTCGATCAATCCCTCGACATTTCGTGGGGCAAGAAACTTATCGGACTTATCGGGCGGTGACTAGGATGATTAGCTGCATGAAGTTTAAGAATTGCAAAATGCACGATACGAATACGAGATACGATAGGATCAATCAAATGTTAGCGTCGAGTATGAGATTGAATTTAAAAAAAAAAAAAAAAAAAAAAAAAAAAAACCCGTAAGTCATCGTAATTGCATTTGTTTTGATACATACGTTTCAAACCGTAATAGTATTCTTATATTTTTATATTTTATAACGATTCATTGAATTATCGATCCGTTACAGTGGTCATCTTTGCAATATGTCCTTCTTGGCGCGGCGAGTCGTGGTAGTCGATACTTTGGTGTGGCTTGCGTGTTCGGCCGTTGGAAGACGGCTGACCAGATTCGTCCCTCAACCACTTAAGCAATCGAGCGACCGAGCGGCTCGTATATCACGTAAGCGTGAATCAGCAGGATTCGAATGAATAGATTCGAATTTCTAGATTCACGAATAATATTAAAAATATCATAAAATTAAAACGATATTTTAATTCTTGCATTTTCTTTTTTAAGAATCGGATTTATTACCCGATGTTGCACGATTGTTATATAAACGGATCCAAAGCTAAACGATCGAAGAATCAAAATAATTTTGCGTTGGATTTGCTGTTGAACGCTTGAAATATATATATATATATACGCTGGAGCAAAGTTCATGGGGGTCAAGCAGGTCAAAGCGTTTCGTGTCACGGAAGTACCGATATCCGAGTTAAGGGGGCATTAGAAAAAGGAAAAGTTTTTTAGTCCACGTGAAAGAAATACGCTTCGATGATTTCACGCGATATCCAAGATCCCTTTTCCGGGGAGGCGAGTGGAAATAACAATCAAATCTGCCTTCAAGATATCGACTTTACAATAAAACTGGAAGAGTCATTGGCCAAAGTTGGTTACAGCTTCAAAGCTTGTTGTATTCACGAGATAGAGATAAGAAATTTGTTGGATATATACAAAGAAAGAATTGCTTCTTATTTTTATAAAAAAAAAGTATTTTATTTTATTATTGGTGCTCGTACTTATTAAAGATATATAATATTGAGATTATGATACACGATTTATCGAAAATGTTAAAACATGTTGAAACGATTATTACTAGTAATATTGCTTTTCATTATTTACATTATACCTATACGGCCTATGGTTGAATAACCTCCATTTATCCTACCGTCATCGCGCTGTACTTTTCAGTTCTACACAATATATATGTGTATAGGCTGTGTTGCGTTACGTTATCCAACTCGTGTTCCTCCTTCCTTTACTATAATCCATGAATTCTTAAATTTCGTAAACAATAAATCATTTCCAATCCAAGATTATTAAAGTGATATTTTCATTTGGAAAATAATTATGAAGGTGCTAGATTAAATTACTATCATAAATATAATTAATGATAGAGTTATATGGTTATACCGTGTATACGTAATTAGTATTATCGCATTATCATTGTAATATTAACCACGATTTCACGAGAGGTCAGTTTATCAAAAGATTCTTATCGGAAGGTATTCAAAGACCTTGTAAGTCAACGCGACAAGGCATAGAAGGGTACACATGGAATGCATTTGATTCCGAGAATAGCAAGATAAGCAAGTACGTGGCAAAGGCGTATTTTTCACTACTCATCGAGGAAACATCGTGTACATCATAAGAATTATCAGGAACGTTTTAACGGGTATTCTCGAGGTTGAAATTTTTGAACGAATTTCATATTTGGAACGAATATATATTTTCGTGTTATTGGGCCGTAAAAAAACAATATTAAATTAAGTGCAAGCACGAGAATGTAATAATTTATTAAGTAATTTTTTTTTTAACGTACTGCTCTTTCTTATTCAATTTTTTTCAACAAGAAATTAAACGAAATGAAAGGAAAAAAACAAATAATACGAGTTAACGGATATAATTTTATGCTCCAAATTAATTATTTTATTTATTTATTTATCTATTTTTTAATATTTTCCAAAAAATATATAAAAATTATTATAACGTGTTTGATCCGAAGGACACAACCCTCTTTTACGTGATGCGTGTTTGAGATTTCGTGCCTTGGTCAAAAGTTGCACGACATTACCACAATAAAAAGACGTTGATCTTATCCGAAATAACGATAAAAATAACTGAGAAAGTATCACGCGGACAAATAAACGAAATAAAGGGAAAAAAAGAACATCGTATTATTTATATATATATATATTTCTCTTTTTTTTAATTCATCGATATATCTCATCATTATTTTTGCAACTGAAATATAAAATATTTGTAAATATTTTACGTAACAATAATAATGAAATATTAATTATATTTTTAAAGGGTCTTCCTTTTTTTTTCGGCAATTTTAATTCTTTACGAATAGATAATCGTCGTATTTTATGAGGTTTTAATTTCATTTTCTTTTTTTTAATTACAGGTTCGCTATCATTATTATCAGAAAGTTTACAGCTATTATTTTGAAAAAATTCAATTGTATCATTTTCAGAAAGTTCATTATCGTTATCGTTTTGAGAAAACTTATTTTGAGAAGAATCAACGTCATTATTTTGAGAAGATTCATCGCCGTCACTTTGAGAGGAATCATTATCATTATTTATTTCCTTGATGCTATTGTCATCTATGTTTATATCCTTAGAATTTTCTTGATTCGTTTTTCTTTTCCCACGTTTCTTTCGCTTTCGCGTTGTAGTTTTTTCATCGTTGATTTCAATCTCTTCTATCTTGTTGTTTGATGCATTGTTTTCTTTATGTTTATATTCAGGTAAAGATATATTAAAATTTCGTTCAAATACAGCAACGAAAAAATCATTGCACATATCCACGTCGGAAATGGCATAAAGACATTTGTCTGAACATTTATATTTCTTCGAACTAAAGTTCAACCATTCTTCGTTCAATAACCTTTTAATTGGGACAAGTTCGTACGCATTTTGTATATTTTCAAGAATTTCATCTATTACTTCTTCGTTTTCTTCGGAATGAGTGGAACAAGTGCTATAAACGACCCTCTTCACGTTTGGGAAATTTAATAAAGCGTGTCGCAAAAGAAAAACTTGAAACGCTTGTAATTGTTTAAGACGTTGTGGATCTCTTTTTTCTTTACCATACACTATTTGTCTATCCAACATACCTGAAAAAATTTAATCAAAAGTTTTCACTGAATTTTTATTTTTTATATTTATTATTATATATAATTATATTTTATATATTTTAATTACATTTACCTGAACCTGAACATGATGGATCAACTAAAATATATTCCACTTTAGAATATTCATTTGCCTCCAAAGTTAACGAATCTTTATTAATAGTTTCAACGCAAGAAGCGTTTGTCAGTTTAATTTGTTCGCATAATGTTTTATATCTATGTTCATCTTTTTCCACTGCATAGATTTTTCTATAAACATAATGTTAAATTATATATCGAATATAAAATTAAATTAATTTACGAATAAAAATCAACATAGACTTTACCCTGTGTTTGTCAATAAGGCAGCTAAATGAGATGTTTTCATTCCAGGAGCTGCACACATATCAAGTACTATAGATCCTGGTTCTGGATTTAGTAAATATGAAGGAAGACAACTAGCCTGAAGGAATATAAAAAGAGTATATAAAATTGACAAAAATATACATATATATATATATATATTATTTTTTTTTTTGATAAAAATTACCTTATCTTGTAAAATAATTTCTCCATTTTGGTAGCCAGGATGATCATAGAAAATTGTATCAGGTGGAAAAACAAGTATTTCCGATATATGAAAATCCTGAATAAAATTCGGCTTTTTCAAATTTTTTACAATATTTAAATGTTGAATATAATTCGAACATTTTGGCAATAAAGACCATCCTTCTTCTTGAAAATAGGATATTCCTTTTTTTAGTGTCACTAACAATGTGTTGATACGAACGTACCTTGCATTTTTTACTGAAAAAAATGAGATTTTTTTTGTTAGCAATTATATAAAGGTATATTTAACTTTATAATGGATATAAAAGAAAACTCGTGCTTTATGACTAAATTATTTATTGTTAAATACATATTGAATCGATCTATATTCAATACTGGCATAATTATATTTGTACAATAATAATAAAAAAATATAAGAATATAAATTACATTTACTATATGTAATTATTACAAATACCAAATATTAATATGTTATTAATATATAGTATATATAAAAATAAAAGGTACTCTATACAATTTTAATCTACAATTACAAATAACTCGTAAATTACTCGCGCAGAAAAAAAAAAAAAAATAGAATGATTTCAAGAAAGATATGATAATATGATATATATTAATTTTTTTGTAGATAGATATTAAGATAGGAATTATATGAAAATCACATAATTTTTTGTAAATGAAATTATTAAATTTATTAATCTATCCAGTTTGTTTCAATATAATAGTTTTTTTTTCAATATAAAAATGATTTTTTTAAAAAATATATGTGATTAATATATAATTTTTTTATATGTTCATCTATAAAAAAATTAATTATAATATTATGTTCTCCTTCAATGAAATCATTCAATTATTTTCTGAATTATTTTTTATACAAGTAACAAGTAATTTATGAATAATTTATAAATATTGATTAAGATTGTATACCTTTTATGTATAAGATAAATACAATCATTATTTTTTATACATTTAAAATTTCATTTAATATCTAATCAATTTTTTCATTTAAATTATCATTGGATGATTCTGCAATTAATTTAACCTCGGAACCATTATCAGGTTCATGAAGTGCTTGATAAATATAACAAGCTATTATTAAATTAACTGTAATCACTGCAGCAAATACAGAAATGCAATTTGTTATAAATCTATCTGCATGAAATTCAACTTTCATAACATGTTGTACACCAAAAAATGCAACAAATGGAAGAGTAAACATGGCAATACTATATAAGAATAATTTTCCCAAAACGTCTATGAAACTCATAGCTGGAATTTGATCTCTATTTTGATCAAAAGAATTTTCTTTCTGATTTATTTTTTGTTGATTTTTATGCATATAAGAGAAAAATTTTTTAATTCTGGGATGTCGGCTAGTAAGTATTCGGTTGTTACGGATG